CATTTATACTATCCAACACTCATTACAAAGAAGCAATAAGATCCATAAGATGCAATAAGATCCAAAACATTCATTACATGGGTTTTATTACATAGCATCATCTCCAGTAGCTACACTTGAAGACTCGTGAGAATCGTACTACACATAGTGTCTCATATTACATCTCATAAGGGGTACATCATGGGGTACTACTTATGGAAGCCACTGACATGACTCATGACCACGCAGGGTCATCTACTCTAACTTGTACACCGCAGCTGGGATACGACTGTTTTGACAACTGGTCCTTCGATTCCTCCTTCCTGAGCTAACTTCCCGGTGCAGGTGACCTTGACAAGCTCGTCAGGGATGCCTAACATGACGAGAACTCGGCAGAGGGTATGTGCAAAACCCCCGAGCTCACGTAGGTCGAAGGTAAGCTTGGCGTGGTCTTGAGGTAGCGGTCCTAGAGGCTACCATTCGACGTTCGTTGCCATCAGCATTTTTTAGGGAACCAGGTGTTAGCAGGTCAATAATAGATAAGCCTTGCATAAAAGTAAATGCAGGGTCAGTATATAACCGAAACAAGGGCTGTTCACGTCCTATTCTATCGTCCGTTTCTGAGGGTTTCGTCCTAGGGTCAAGTATGGCTCTGATACCAACTGAAACGACCTGATTTCCGCGAAGGGAAATCCACAGAGTTGGAGTGTATTATGACCGTTGTAGATCATATTACCCAAATTCCAGTCGAATACCACATCCATACAACGATAATATCAGAGTACAAATAGTGCGGAATTACATAAATTATTACATCGCCGCATTGGCGGAATCAAAAGTAGCATTCATTCAGAACAGCTTGAAGACAAGATCGCCAAACTCGAGCGTAGGAATGAACCCCTCAACCATCAAACTCCTCAGAGCTATACTCCTTAGCTGAACCTGTGTGCCAAAATTTATCAGTACGATTTGTACTGGCCACTCCCACATGAGCATTGCTTTGTGGAAATTGGATGCAAGTTGGATATAATCAAAAGGAACCTATAAGGATGGGGTTTCCTATGTATTAGCATATCAAGTATATAATAATAGTTGGTCAAGTTTTAACACCAATCCCACACCCATTCCACCCCATTCCCGTCCAGAGCCAGGTTTCAATCCTGGGATCGATATACCACCATCTCCACATTATCACCACATCACCACCATACCATCGCTCAGTCGACAGGCCAACTCCCTCTCGGCACTGTCTCATGGCCCATAGCCCCTGGCTATGTCCGAACACTCACTCCTAGGGGGAGAAAAGAAGGACTCATCTCACTATCTAGTTTAAGCGAAACCCAGGAAAGGTCCATAGCCGACAAGTCGGCATATGTATCGATCGATCAACCATACACTCTGCAGAGGTTTTACACAACCATAAGATCCGTCTTCCTCACTGACCATCGTCAACTGGGCTGATTCTGGCCGCTTGCTAGCCTAGGATAATGCCACTCTACCATTCAGCCCTAGTACACCCCAAGTCTAGTCTGGGGTGGCTGAAACTATGAGTCATGAGCCGGGTACACAAGGTCTCCATGAAGTCTCGGAAGGGTGTGGGGGGAATCCTCCGCGCCCCGTACCTCCCTCACACTGTCCGCTATCAACCTAGCAGTAGTGGCAATATCCTACCAAGTAGTTCGGCCGTCCGGCACCATATAGGGCGAGTGGTACGTAAGGCTTCCCGGTGAATCTGAGTACTAGTAAGTCCTTAGGGGTGACCAAGCCAGAATGTCTTCATCAGGGTTTCCATTTACCGTGCCACCACAGCACCTCCACCCTGGGCTCCTCCCATCACAGGTTCACACCCAGGGCCACCTCATATACCATTTACCCACCACAGGTATCCATTCCAGGGGTGCCCAGGTAGCACCCCACGGCAAGACTTGCCCCAGGCTCGTCGTATACTCCAACTTGGTCGACACAACCCTCACCCTCCACGCACCCAAGTCACACACGCAGCACTCTCCCCATAGTCTAGATAACACCAGTTTCCACCACGCATCAATGTAGTACAAGCGTAGTAGAAGTATTAAGCAATGAAATATAGCAGCAAGCGTGTGTCTAGCCTAATGGCAGGGTAAGCAGGGGTAAGGTTACGTCAAGGTAAAGGCCATCAAATAAGCATACTACCATGCAAGTCCTATCATAGTGTGAATATAACAATAAAATAAAGTAATAGCAGTTCTATATTAGCCATGCGTAATAGGTGCTACGAGGTTGGGTGGGATGTGGCACCTTCAGTGAAGTCATCTCTGTACTCCTCACGGTACTCTCGGTCCTTGTCCGTCTGGTTCTCCTCCGAGTCTACAAACGATCGCATTATAGTCGCGTTAGCGATGTCTATAGAATAGCACAAAGAAGCAATGAAATTCAAAAGAGCCAAATGCACTCAAACATGGGTTCATTGCGTAGAGCTCGATTTTAGATGAATTTTGGTCCTGGTCTTGTATTTTTCTGAGGTCGTATGAATTAGTTATGAATTTCTGAAGATTAAATCCATTTCTGAAAAATAATAAAGGCTGATTAATTCAGGGCTGACACGTGTCACACTGTGACTGGTTCATGTCGCATGTAGGGACTTGGAGTGGTGTATTGGCTGGTGAGGTGGTCGGAGAGGTCGCCGAGGTGGTTGAAAAGGTCGCCGAGGTGGTCGGAGAGCTTGCCGAGGTGGTCGGAGAGATCGCTGAGGTGGTCGGTGAGATCGCTGTGGTGGTCGGAGTGGTCATCGCGGTTGTCGGAGAGATCGCCAGGGTGGTCGGTGAGATCGCCGAGGTCCCCGATGCTGGTGTGGTCTCATCTTCGACATGACATCAGCATGGCGTCATTAGACCTAAACCGCGGCTGACAGGTGGGTCCCGCAGACGTCAGCATGACGTCATCATCTCGGTTGGTCACTGACAGGTGGGTCCGGGGTCAAACGGTGACTGATAGGTGAGGCGCGGTTCCTGGTGAACCCGCCTGCATTGGTCCATAGACCGCAGAGCCGGTTTATGAAGGACTTGGTCCACTTACTCCTTCCCAGGGTTCGGTTCATGGGCACCAAGTGCACGGACGTGTGGCCGGCAAGGGGAAAATCCCTTTCTCCTTCCCCGGCGTGCTCCCGCCGATGGTGAGCTCGCCGGTGAGCCCCTCCAGCGGCGCAGGTGTGCAATTAAGGTGGGCAAAAGCTTGGCCTTGCCATGGCGGGTGCCCCGGTGAAGTTAACGTGGTGGCCGGGCGGCTCTAGTTGGCTGGCCACGGTGGCGGTGGTCCTCGTACACCGGCGAGCGGCGGTGTGGTGGCTGTGGTGGCGGTACTAGAGATTGGTGGTGCGCACGAGCTCCCCGACGTTGCTACGGCCATGGCGAGCAGGTCGAAGGGGCTCCGGGAGCTCTTAACGCCTCCGGCCACGGTGGTGGGGGCAAAGCGGAGGTGGTGGCACTCCGACGAGGTGCGGTGGGGCAACGCAGGGCTCCGGTGGGCTTCATCCTCGGCTAAGGTGAGCGCGGTGTGTCTCTCGTCATGGCGGAGCCAGTCGGGGTGTCCACGTCGCCTTTACCGCGACGTAGAAGACGCGGTGGTCTCGCCATGGTTGTGCTCTCGGCCATGGCATGCAGGGTGGTCGTGCCGGTGTTCCCGAGCCGCTAGGGGTCGGTGAGGCTAGGCCTTGGGCTTGTGCGCGTGCGGTGCGTGGGCAGCGTGTCCAGGAGCGGGAATGCTCCGCCTCTGCGTTCCCCAGGTGCGGGAACGCGGTGGCGTTCATGGCGAGTACTGCTAGCGCGGTGAGCGGCGAACGACGTGGCTCACCGTAGGGCTCGTGGCGGTAGGATGGCGGTGCGGTGGTGAGGCGAGGCCATGATGAGGCGATGCAGTGCCGTGCCAAGCAGCTACGTCGCTGTAGCTGATCGGGGCGGCGCTCCTGGCTCCAGCGAGGTCCGGTTCCGCAGCGGCTTCCTTCTCCTCCTTGCTTCTTCCTCCTCCCTCTCTCTCGGCTTGACGCGGTGTGGTGTTGTGCCACCCGCGGCGGCGGCGAACGTGCTGAGGGTTAGGGCTCGCGGCCGTTGGCTTTTATAGCCGAGCTCTAAGGGCTCCAATGGCGGACGGTGATCGGGCGGTGGTGATGCGTGCGGCGCATCCGACAGCCCGCGTGCGGTAGCGTAGGCGCGGCGCAAGGGGGAACAGGGTCATGCTTCTTGCGTGACCCCCTGTCCCGCGCCTGCCACGCTGGTCGGGGCTCGGTCGGGAGGAGAGACTAGCGTGGGGAGGAAGAAGGCTCTGTTGCTGGGGTGGCTGACGCGTGGGGTCCGGTTGGCAGCGGCAGCAGACGAGGTAAAAGGGCGCGCGGGCGTGAGCAGCGCGTTGGGCCGGCTTCGTGGGCTACGCGCGTGAAAGGCAGGCGAGGCTTGGCTAGGCTAGCTGGGCCAGTCGAGGCAGGCTGGGCTGAGCTGCTGCCTCCCTCTTTTTCCTTTTCTTTTTCTGTTCGTTTCTCTTTTCTTTCTTTTGCTTCGATTCAAATTTAGTTAGAGTTTAAACTTGAGCTTTGAGTTATGTAGTGGGTCCCACAAGGTGTTTCAAATGGTGGTCAAAATACGTCCCATATATTAGGGATCATTGGCTATTTTTGTTATACAAAAATAGTTGAAGTTTTTATATAGGGGTGTTTTATTCTTCCAACAAATAATTCATTATTTAGGGTTTATCATAAATATTAAGTGAGTTAGTTAAACATCACATAAGGCAAAAGAATCCAAATCACAAGTGGAATTAAGGATGCATGCATGATTTATTTATTTAGGAATTTAATTACACATGTGGCATAACACCAAACTATGCTTTATGATTTTAACCTAGTTGGGTCACATCTAATCCAAAACTAGGGTTTGGCTTCTACATGTGTCACTCATCATCACATAGGGTTTAAACAAAAAATTTTGTAGTTGTGATTTTTGGTGTGTGGATTTTTGAGTTGTTACAGACATCCCCAAAAGTTTGTTGATATATTATTTTCCCTTCGGCTGCTCGGTGAAATCTAGAGCAATCCATTGTTGAACCAAATCATCTTCTACAATATTATGCCCTTTGGGGAATATGGCACAATAGGAAAAGCATATCCTTAGCTGTGGTGGCATCCTTTCGTAACTTAATTTCAAGGATGGAAGCACATCACAATCTTCAGAAGATCCATTCCAGATATCACTGTTATTAATTTCTTTCCATACAGACAGATCATCTATGGATCGTAGCATCACACCTCCACATTTCCTTGCAATATCCAATCCTATTTGCCCCATTTTTTCCTGGTCAGATTTAAGTTCAAACTTACTGTATCTCTTAATTATTTCCCAACATTTATCATCTTCCAAAGTTTGTAGCCTGTATGGTTCACTGGTACAAACTTTTCTTGCAATGTCTTCCTTGCGTGTGGTTACTATTGCATCTACTTTACTGTCCTTGATGTGAAGCATCGTTCTTAGTTTATCCAACTCAGCCGTCCTTTCCTCCCATAGGTCATCCAAAACGACCAGAACCTTCTTGCCACAAAGTAGGCTTTCAAGGCATTGGTTTATGACCTGCTGTATACACATATTTTGGTGACCTTGTGGTTGCAATTGAGAAATTATAGAGCTTCCTATTTTGTTCAAATTAAAATCTTGGGACACATAAACCCAGACACGATGATCATACTGCTTGAACTGGCCATCATTGTAAACTAATTGTGCCAAAGTACTCTTGCCCATAACTCCAAGGCCATATATAGGAACAATCACTATCTCATCGTTGCAAGTGTTTGCAGATAACAAGTTTATGATTTCCTGTTTTTCTTGGTCCCTCCCTATTACAGGTTCTTCAGGCAAATAAGATGTTGTTTCACGTTCATCGTATGCCTGCTCATTAGTAGTGCCACTGCCCTTTTTGAAGCTAAAGCTATCAATTTCGCTTTTGATTTTCCTCAGTTTTTCTCTCAAACTCTTCATCCTATTAGCGATGGCAATCTTCTTGTACGCCACCGGGAGACATGATAGAACTGCTGGCATCTGCAAGAGTTTTTGATTTATTACTTAGTAGGAACAAATTAATAAGTTTATCACTATGATAATTGATGATAACTAGATATAGACTACCGTGTGTTAGAAAATAATCAAAGAGAAAAAAAACATCTTACTGTTACTAATCCGCGATAGATGCGCTAGAAAAAAATAAATACTAGAAATTACCATATTAATCAGAAACGTCTAGCCATCAAATCAAAAGTCTAGCTATCTATAACCATTAGATCTATTTTGTTTTCCACAAAATTACACACCTCTACCATACATATAAAAAATAGCCTTTACTAATTTTAATGGTTCGGGAGAAAAAAAAAACTTGGGCAACAACTTCAGTGGCATGGAGAAAATATATGGACGGTAAAGATTTTGGTTGGTTAATAAAACATTTTTTTGACAAGTGCGGATTAATAAAATATTATCAGCCACGTTTAGTTGGTTCTTACTATTAATCCTCACCGGATGCGCTAGGAAAAAAAGATAAATACTGGAAACTACCATATTAATCACAAACATCTAGCTATCAAATCAAAAGGCTAGCTATCTATAACCATTAGATCTATTTTGTTTTCCAAAAAATTACCCACATCTGCCATACATATAAACAATAGCATTTATTAATTTTAATGGTTTAGGAGAAAAAAAAACTTGGGTAACAACATCTGTGGTATGGAGAAAATACATGGACGGTAAAGACGTTTGGTTGGTTAATAAAATATTTTTTTGACAAGTGCAGATTAATAAAATATTATCAGCCACGTTTTGTTGGTTAATTAATAAAATATCACGTGAGGCCATCTAATTATTAATGTATATTAATAAAATATATCATCTCCAGTACACATCACTTAGTTAATGTATTAACGAGTGGATTAATGTTGTCCAATAAAATAATACACGAGTGTTTTTCTAAACTATTTGTACAGCGATCTGTTTGGTAATCCATAATCGTTATTGAAAATGTTAGTCATTATTTCATCAAAAAACAATGGTAGTCACTAGATTTATTCTATTTTCTAAAAATTATTCACTTCTGTCATTACGGAAATAGTCTGCGGTAACCTCTAAATCTTGATCAAAATCATTCACCACTACCATTATGAAAGGAACCTAAAGTAGACCCCTAATATTCTTTTGAATTACCACATAACCTATTATAAAAAAATAACATAAAGTAACTCCTAAATTTGTATGTGAATTACCCACCCGCACTATATTATTAACAAAAATATAAAGTATGCTTAAATTGGAACTATCTTCGTCTATCATTATTAGGAAAGTTTTCAAAATACTTTTATAATCTTAGAGCATCTCCAAGAGTGCTTCAAAAACTCACTATCTAAATCATCATTTGGAGAGTCATTTACATAAAAATCATTATTTATATGTTTCCACTTGATGAGATCCTAAAATATGGGTATGTTAAGCCTCAGAATCAAAGGTTCCCGCCCAAGAGACCCCCCGACCAACCCTTCCAGGATCGCTCGGGGGGTATACCCATCGGGTACGCTCGTGCGCACCCTCATGTTAAAGGATTGGGCCGAGCCTGAGTAAGCCTGCCCCCTCTGCTCAGCGCTCAGGGACTCGCCCGAGCCTTGGGCTCCCGATCGACAGGAGCCTAGACCCGATCCTTGGCCTCCCCCCGGCCTTAGGCGCCAGGCAAGGCCTGGGCACAAGAAGACGCGCCCCAAGCCATCAGGGCTCAGGGGCTCCTAGGCGCCGCCCCGCAAGCGCAGCGCTGTCAACCGCTCCTCCGACAGGGTCACGCACGGGACGTGACACAAGATGACAAGCTTCCCCGCAGCCTCCAGGGGCTCGGGGGCTCCCGGGCCCGCACGTTAGCCCCTCGAGCCGGCCTCCTTCGCCACCAAGAAGTCTCCAGAAGCGCACTTGGGGGAGACCAGTCCAAGCAAACACAGCCTGATACTTAGTGTGTCAGGACAGAGCAGCCGGATGATGCCCAGAGCTTCTTCGGCTCCATGACATTGCCACATTCTATATAGCGCCGCTACAAGACCCTCCTAGACTCCAGCACATGTAGACCATAGGCTCATCCCCCCAAACCACCATGTACCTGACCTATCTCGGTATATAAGGGATAGGTCGGAAACCATAGGGGGAGGACAATCCGAGACAGGTCATTTCATTCCTCACCGATCCGCTCCGACTCAGCACCGAGAGTAGAGCAACCCAGAGAGAGGGGCACTAAGAACTCCTCCACCGCACATGTCGTCTTCCTTCTCTCTGATGAGGGGAAGGCACCACCGGCGGCAAGGCAACCTTAGGATTAGCACCGAGCTAGCCCCCTACCAAATCTCTCTCTTTCTCCTGTACACTCTGTTGTAACCCCCCGATTTTAGGTGCTCTTGAGTATAAGGATCATCAGCTGCAGGACATAGGGCACCGATTGGTCCGAACCAGGATAAACCGTTGCGTCCTCTCTGTGATTCTTGTGTTCTTGAGTCCACCCGAGCCACCGGAGACAAGTACTCTAACACCACCTCGAACAACAATGCTTGACGCAGTTCCAACCCTGCGACAGCTGGCGCGCTAGGTAGGGGGCAGCGTCAAGTGTAATTCAGGCTCTACGATGGCCGAAGCCACCCGCCTTGTCGCTGGAGCAAGTAGCGCCGCCCCAGACGGCGGTGTCCGCTTCCCCAGCGAGTTCTCCGTCATGGCCGGCGCCTTTGCTCCGGGCCAGGTCCTCAACTTTGGGAGTATGGCCTACGTTGTCGATTGCTACGGTGAGCTCCAAATTACTCAATGAGGTCCCACTGACGGGCAACAAGCCCTCGGCGTAGCCTGCTCCGCCAGGCCTCCTAGGGGCAGACCTCAAGGTCTCAGTCCAATGGATTTGGCTCCTACTAAGCCCGTGACTCGCTACATCAGACCATCACCAGCAAACGGGCTGACACGCAAGCCCGACGAACAGCTAAGTCCTCATACCTTCGAGTTCATCACTATTCATTTCTCACGCCTTGGATCGCCTCTAAGAAAAGGACGGGCTCGTTCCGCTCGAATCGACTCACTTTCATGGCTCAAACCTTCTTACCCCGGCCTCATGGTCTAGGAGTGAAGCCGCCCTATTCTTCTCTCTGTGACCATCGGACGGGATAGGCTAATGCCCCAACGCCAAAATGGGCATGACCCGGGCTAACAGGCTAACTATCGATGACCTCTGGGCTCATGGGGGGAAACAGGCGCTGGGACACTCCCCACCGAGACGAATGGGGGACGAAGAGGAAACATCAATGAAAGCGTAAAGTTTGGTGGGCGGGCGTGCTACCGGCGCACCATTGTTCAAGGGGAAAGACCCCGGAGAAATAGCAACAAAGTTTTATAGTTAAATTTCTACGCTGGTCACAGGGAGGCTAGAGGATCAGCAAGCGCGTCTATCTCTTTTGGATACTCGTCGACCAGAAGCAGCCCGTCGTCGATGATGTTTGTGGTGGCATCAACTAGGGGCATCACTGTGTCCTCAGCTTCCTCCAGGTCCTCTGCCATGCTCACATCCAGAACATGATCATTGTTGATCTCAGACGCCATCTTAAACTAACAGATTGTCCCACCAGGCGTGCCAAAAAGTGTGTTGACACAAAATGTGACGCACTGTGCCTCACACACAGCAAGCCGGAAAGCGTGGCTTCAATCGGGTTCTGGGTGCTTCGTGATCCGGAAGCGTGCCAGTCAGTTTGACCTGAAAACTAACAAGGGATAAAACAATTAAATGCCAAACCGGAACATGTCGGGTGAGACCAGACAGTTCCACATATACGGCCCTGAAGCCACTTACAACGACATACGGCTATAGAGAGCTGTCTGCCAACAAGTTTATAAACCATTCAGCTAATCGTAAGATGAATGCACGTAAAGACCTGATTGCCGAATGCATGTGCATGGGAAGACATGTTTGAACAAGTGAAATTAATTATGAGTTAATGCATAACCAAGCTCAGCAGTCCAGCCGAATTGGGGTCCATGAAGAAGGAACGTGCAAATAAAAACGATTAAACTAATCTAAAACCTGCATCCACCGCACGACACCTAGTTTCGTTAAAGCTTAAACGTGATTAACATGCATGAACCCGCGACATGTGACAATCTAGATTAAAATAATTCAGCCATTATGAGCATGTTATCTATTTGCAAAGGTAATATGAAAAGCAATGATCGTTGAAGCACGAATAAAACCATAAGAGAGAGCCGAACAATATCAATCTAGATTGGGCAGAAGTGTGTTACAAATATATAAAATATTTAAAACATGCAACACTGGATAACTTAATGAATCTATTTAGATTTGCCATATCTAATAGAGCCGATAACTATCTTGCTTTCACTAAGCATATTGAGCAAACGTCTGCCGCACGGTATCTACTCATAAACAAAGCATAAGCAAAGACTTCTTGATTGTTAAGCAAAGATCCGCCGCACGACCATTGAAAACAAACAAGACTACTTGCATCACGTCTAAATCCACCGCATGATACTAAACATGATAACAAGGTTGTCGGAACTTACGGAGGTCGACGGATCGATGACTCCTCTCAAAGAACTCGACGACACGACAAAAGGACTCAAAAGTTGGCACGGGGCCGGTTGTATTGATTTGGTTGTGAACCCCTATTACAATGGTCGAGGGTCAATATTTATACCCTAGACAAAACACGAGTCCTAGAAGACTACGATTTATAAAGGAACTTTTAAACAAACTTGGAAACTTACGATTCCTTACCCTAAACTCTCAGAGTCCTTTATTATTACAACTTTCATCTTTTCGATCGGCCTCGCCTGCCATCTTCTGCTTTCCCGAATGAAGTCACCGCCTTCTGGAGTAACCGACCGCACAAGCATTTAGCCGACCGCTTGTTTTGTTTGCCGAATACCCTTCTTCCCGCATGCGGATCCAATTCCATCATCCTCCGTAAATCGACCAAAATCCAAAGTTAACACATGCCCCCCTCAATTTCGGGATAAAAGTTGTTTTA